CAGATGCTTAAAAGCTTCTTGAGCCATGACTAGTCAGAGATTGTTTTTGATATACAGGCCAGCAGATGCTTAAAAGCTTCTTGAGCCATGACTAGTCAGAGATTGTTTTTGATATACAGGCCAGTAGATGCTTAAAAGCTTCTTGAGCCATGACTAGTCAGAGATTGTTTTTGATATACAGGCCAGCAGATGCTTAAAAGCTTCTCCGTTGTTCTGTAGAAAATTTTCAGATGATATTGAAATATTTATTTCTTGAAACAAAGAAAATTATAGGGTCAAAAACAAAACCAAAAAACAACAATCGAGAAACACGTTTCCTCAGAAATCCCAGTCTACTTTTATCTCCTTATTCCGACTTTTATTCCCTTATTCCTATTTTTATTTCCTTATTCCGACTTTTATTTCCTTATTCCTACTTTTATCTCCTTATTCCTACTTTTATCTCCTTATTCCTACTTTTATCTCCTTATTCCGACTTTTATTTCCTTATTCCTACTTTTATCTCCTTATTCCGACTTTTATTTCCTTATTCCGACTTTTATCTGCTTTCAAGAAATAATAAACTATGTTACAACCTACAACTAAAATACTTCGTCGTGTTAACTTCACATTTTTGATATATAAGCACTTGTCGATCATATATTTAGGGGAAAAAAAATCCTACAAATATATTTAATTTGAACGAATAAGTCACTGTCGATAACAAAATGTTCAACTGGATACAGCACGAACCTTAAGCTGGGTAGATATCTTTCTCTGCCTTAAATTGGTGAGTTCACGTAGAATTTCTTCCTGCCTGGTATTTGGCGCGTGGCTGAAGGACGCCATCTGGTAGAATCTCTGATCCTGTAAATATGAAAAAAAAAGGCCTGTTAAAATAGTGTTGTATAATATTTCACCCCAAAATAACTAGAAATTGCTAAAAATAATAATAAAACGGACAGAAATATGAATCTATTCATATGAGTACGATTTATATTATTGAATCGCTTCTTTAATTAAAACAACTTGTTTTGTTTTGTTAACTGGTACTTTGTTTTCGATGTACAACTAAGTTTTTTTTGTATTGGTTTTTGTTAAGCCTTAAGCTACATAACGGGCTATTTGTGCTCTGATTTGTTTGTTTGTTTGTTTGTTTATAATTAAGCACAAAGCTACACAATGGGCTATCTGTGCTCTGCCCACAACGGGTATCGAAACCCGAATTATAGCGTTGTAAGTCCGCAGACATACCGCTGTGCCACTGGAGGGCGTGCTCTGATTATCACAGGTATCAAAACCCGATTTTTAGCGTCGTAAGCTTGTAGTTGCAGACATCCCGCTGAGTCACTAGGGGGCAAAACCAAGAGTATAAATATATACAAAAGCGTTAAAAAAATTGAGCAGGAACTTTAGTGATGCGATAAACTGTGAACGCGTAAATCTGAAATCGTAATGTTCATCTACTGAGTATTCAGTTTTGATTATTAAAAATTAAATTTCTTGCAGTGAAAAAAAGAAAAAACTGTTATATAACTCAAGTAACTTAAATCGATGTAAGACTGAAAAGTAAGACATTCTAACAACTACGTTTGTACAACACGTTGATTCTGTTTGTTTATTTAGGAATTTCGCGCGAAGCTACGGTAGGGCTATCTGGGCGTAGCTGTCCCTAACATTGAACTGATAGACTAGAGGGAAGGCAGCTAGGCAACAGCAACCATCGTAAACTCGTCTTGTCTTATCGAATAATGGGATATGACCGTCACTCTTATATCGCACCCACGTCTCCAAATTACGAATCGCGTTTTGGGAGGCAACGGACTGCGAACCACGAACTTCGAATTCACGGTCCGAGCACTCTAAGGCCACGCCCAGCTCTATGGAACTAAATAAAACATTGAACATCCACTGACTGAGCCGAATGCATATTCTATATACGGGTACTTGCTGGTATATATAATGTTCTTAGGGATGTACTGTGTGCACCGTAAAGTCTGAACACTAATCATTTAACAAATATTAAACATGAAACCGGTGGTTGAAAAATCTTGAACATACGTGTCCAATGTTGAACGTTAGGATGTTGTGCTGGACACTTTACTGGAGGGCGTGTCCAGATGTCACGTGACAGATATGTAGCTTCTAAAACATGTTCGTATCAAAAGTTTTGTTTATAATGAACTTCTAAAACATTCTCATAACATAAAGTTGTGTTCAACATTGAACACCTAGAACGTGTTCATAGAACAAAGGTGGTAATTCCCAATGAACTGAATAATTCTGAGGTATTTCAGTCCAAATAAGGATAGCACGTGAGTTTACCTGTTTAGTGCTACGATGTTGCTTTTCGGAAATATTCGTTTTCTGCTCGATAAGTTCATCAAGTCTCTGGTTGGTGGCACTGCGGTAGTCCTCAGATCCAATCCGATATCTCTTAACTGCAATATTTTAAGAAATATTTAAATTTTTTCTGTAATAATTTGTTTTCTCTAAAGACATCAATAAAAACGATTACTGTGAGAATCTACGACCTACGTATCTTCATCTATCACAACAGGAAATGTCGTCTTTGTTACAGGAAGTGACGTGATAAGTATGTTTCTATCTTAAGCTAACTTCGTTAGAGTGTTGCTATTCCTTTATTTTCATAATCTTTGTCGTTTAAACGTATTTTGTGCAGATTTATAATTAATAAAAATTTCGCTTACAAAAATCAATTACAGACACACGCTAAAAATAATGGAATAAACATAAAAACTAGAAAAATGAAATCAATAAAGGAAGATAAAGGTTTATTAGGCTTATGAAGTGAACACCAGTTATTAGTGTCTAACAGATGTTAAGATTGTTTATCGACACTTATAATGCATACTGGAGATATTTTGGTAATCAAGTCAGATGAAGAAAAACGACTTTTACTCTCCAAATAATAATAACTTTTTATTTCAGCCAACGTTTCGCCATTGCGGCTTCATCGGGACTAGCAGGTCCAAAACTTTCCTCGTTGTATTACTAGCCCTGATGAAGCCGCAAAGGTGAAACGTTGGCTGAAATATTTTTTAAATTGTCTGAATGTAAAGGTTTTTTTTATGAATAATATAATAGTATAAGGCAGCGATTCTCAATCTGTGGTCCACGGGGTCCTTTCAGGTGGTCCATGTAAAGGTTTCGGAAAGGAATCGGCAGTGTAGTGATCCGTCGAAATAAAAATAATTAATAATCGGGGGGTTGGGAGGGGGTTCGGTAACAAATTAGTTTGAGTACTAATGTTATAGAGGAAATAAAAGTAGGAATAAGGAAATAAAAGTCGGAATAAGGAAATAAAAGTAGGAATAAGGAAATAAAAGTCGGAATAAAGAAATAAAAGTCGGAATAAGGAGATAAAAGTAGGAATAAGGAAAGTGGAAAGTGATCGAGTGTAGTTTATATATAATAATCCCTGTAGACTCCCACTGGAGCATAGGTCCCCCAACAACACCTCGCCGACGGAAGTTGTTGTTGCAATAATTTTTTAGCAGATTAGTTTTTAGGTGGCGGAGTTGCTAGCCCCGCGCTAACCACCCTCCTTTCTCATTCTGGACTTGGGACCAGGCAAAGGTGGTGGTATCCCTGCCGGGGAACGAACCCGGTACATTTTAACCAAAGTCTAATACTAATCCGTGGGAGAAATGACATTAGAAACAGCTACATTTCAACCAAAGTCTAATACTAATCCGTGGGAGAAATGACATTAGAAACAGCTACATTTTAACCAAAGTCTAATACTAATCCGTGATAGAAATGACATTAGAAACAGCTACATTTTAACCAAAGTCTAATACTAATCCGTGGGAGAAATGACATTAGAAACAGCTACATTTTAACTAAGGTAAATTACAATCGTATAGCGCAGTGGATAGCGCGTTGGATTTTTAATTCAAAGGTTAATGTTATGATATCCTTTAGGTGCTGTAAAAAAGTAATGTTACAATATCCTTTAGGTGCTGTAAAAAATAATGTTACAATATCCTTTCGGTGCTGTAAAAAAAGTAATGTTACTATATACTTAAGGTGTTTGGTCCAGCCCAACTGTCATATGCCAAGTATTATCTGTATAACTTAAACCTTTAGGGTAAATATACTTATAAATCAATCCGTGATAGAAATTACATTATAAACAGCTACATTTTAACCAAAGTCTGATACTAATCCGTTAGAGAAATGACATTATAAACAGCTGCTGTAAAAAAGAACC